AAAAAAAAGCTTTATGGGAGCAGAAAACCTAATCTTTCTGCCAAGGAATAGCTGGTGGGTTTGACCTAATGACCTTGTAGTTAGAGTCCAGAGCTTATTCTACAGAGCCTCCCCAGCACTACAGCTTATTAAGTAAAATTGTTCACTATAGATTCCTAAAAGAAGCCTGGTAGCACAGTGGTTTACAAGTTGGGTTGCTAACTGCAAGGTCAGGAGTTCAAATCTACCAGATGCTCCAAGGGAGAAGGATGAAGTTTTATGTTCTCATAAAGATTTACAGTCTGGGAAACCCTATACAGGCTCACTATGAGTTGGACTGACTTGGCAGCACACAACCACCACCACCACCGATTAGTAAGCAAGCACAAACAAACCCTTGTTTACTTTACTTATTGAGTAATCTGCCCTTGCATATCTTTTTCTTTCTATAACTTTTTATTGTGAATTGAGTGAAGGTTTAAAGACAAGTTCATTGGTTTTATATTCAACAAATCATACACTTTGCTTCATCTCTATGATTGCAGTCCCTTCTATGGAACAAGAGTCATCCTACTTCCTTGCTGTGGTTCCCATTTCTATTCCACCCACCTTCCCATCCCTTCTCACCATTGGCCTTAGGTACATGTTGCCCCTTTGATTTTGAATGATTGACCATTCCATCATTCAGAGTAAGCATACCTTATTTGTGTTATTCCCCCTTGTATACCTATCTACTCCTTGTCTGAAAGTTAGGCCACAAGATTAAGTTGCTTCCCAGCCCTGAAGGAAGGTCAAAGGCCATATTCTTAGACTTATCTAGTCTCTCTCTCTGACCAGTAAGCCCAATCTTTTTTAAAAAAAAAATAATTTTGAATTTTGTTCCACACATTCTACCACTCTATTCAGGACTTTTTAATGTGATCCCTTTCAGAGCAGTTGGTAGTAGTAGCTGCATACATTTTTGCCTTTGCTTTTCTGCTAGCCATTTATTTTAAAATCTATTTGGCTTTAGTACATTTATAGTAGTTCATTTTTATAGATTTATTTTATTTTTGTGTGTTTCAACTTATTTTTTTAAAAAAACCCTTTTCTATTTCTGTCTTTTATTTCTTAGTAAAAAACCCAAAGTGCTAACTAACAAAGTTGCTGGCCCTCTTATACTCTCTGGACTCACTTTGCTTGGTTTTTGCCATTTGCTACCTATGTAACCTTGGGAAAGTTACATAACTTCTCTATGCCTCAGTTTCCATATGTATAAAATGGAAATAATAATTGTACCTGCCTAAAAGGACTGTTCAGAGGTTAAGTTAATAAGACATTTAAGGCACTTAAAACCAGTGAAGAGTCAGAGACTAGCAGAATGGATATGAAAACAGGATCCTTCAATATGCTGTCTAAAAGAAATACACCTTACAAACAGAGACAAAAATAGAATAAAAATTAAAGGATGGAAATATATATATCAAATAAATGGTAATAAAAAATGAACAGGAGTAGCAGTCTACTTGATGAAAAACATTAATAATAAATGGGTGGCACACAGGTTAGGGAAATGCTTTGCTGGATCAAACTATGGGGATATACATTGCAAAAGTTCAATAGCCTAACTGAGAAGACATGCAAATCATGAAAAGAACCTGTGATTGTGGGTTGTGAAGGAGGCGGGGACATATTAAATGCTATTGGACTATGGGAAGGAGATTTGGCTGCCTTCTTGGAAGAAGAGTTTGATCTGTGTCTTAAAGGATGGAAGTTTGGCCAGGGGAGATGAGAGAGAGAAGCATTCTCTGCAAGGAGATATTTAGATGAAGGCAAAGAGGAGGACAGGGTGACCTGTGTGTGAGAACATCGGAGCTGGGTAGGAGGTAAAACTGTGGAGTAGAGGTTGATGCCATGTGAGGATGCAAAACAGGGAAGATGGGCAGGGAGCCACACTGGGAAAATCTTAAGTATGGGACTAACAGAGTTTGATAAAAACCATAGGTCCCAGAGTCCTGGTGTGGTGCTGTGGGTTAATATGCCAGACTGCAAAGCCATTTGAACTGCCAGCTCGGCTGTTCAAGCTCACCAGCTGCTCCTTGGAAACCCTATACAGGGTCACTATGGGTTGGAATCGACTCGATGACACTCAACAACAACAGAGGTCAGATTTGATTCTTTTGGTGAGGGGGGCTGTTGAATAAGCTATTTTGGTGGGTTGTGAGGCATAGAGGGCAGAGAGAAGTCCTGGAAAGCAGAAAATGCTGAGGGCTTCAACCCAGGCATTGAAAACAGACAGAAGGAGGAAGCTTTGAGGCAGAAGGTGAAAGTTTGATGATGAATAATATGGGAGAAGAACAGGAGAAATAAAAAGCTGATGTTAAAGTTTCACACTTGAGGTCAGTGGCTCACTAACTGAAGGTGAGAGACAGGCGGAGGAGGGAATTTGAGTCATTGACCAGTTCCCGTTGGAACTGACAGTGTCTTTGTGAGACATCTCAAGGATGTTCATGAGACCAGTAGACATGCCAGCCTTCAGTTTGGAGGAGAGGGCAGAAGCTAGGAGATCTGTTAACACGCAGCAAGATGGGATGGGAGGCAAGGATGGAAGCTTGGATAATAAGTCAATTTACAGGGCAATCTGAGAGAGAAAGCAGAGGCACTGAAGGAAACCAAGAGAACAAACTCTAGAGACCCACTGAGACAGGGGGCTTGGAGGAGGAGAATGAGGGCCAGCAGGCCAAGAGCTGTCACCTAAATCACTGCTGAGTGCCATCGCTCATCACACCTGGCCCTTCCTTCTCCTCATAACCAGAGGGCCATACTAAACCCAGATGTAACAGTGCTCACATCATTTCCCAAACTCTCAACTCTGACATGAGGAAATCTGCAAACTGAACATAACACTCCTCCTCTTCAGAACCAGGCAACGGCTCACATTCAGAGAGGCAAGAGGAAGCATAAAGGAGGTCTGGCCCATAAAGAGACCCTCAGTGTTAAGTTGAGGGGCTCTTTAAACCACAGGTTCCTGAACCTCTACATCGGGTACATAGACCATTTTTAAGAAACGCAATTCATCTTGATCACCAGAGGTAAGAGCTCGGGGTGGGAGGCAACCTGTGGACTCAGACCAAGGGGAGCAGGCAGACCTGGGTCAAGTAACATGGGCAGAGAGGACAAACAGAGCTCTCATGCTTTAGTTACATAGTGCTGCTATAACAAAAAGACCACAAGCAGACTGCTTTAAGTAACAGAAATGTATTCTCTCGCCATTTAGAAGGCTAGAAGTTCATATTCATGGCACCAACTCTAGGAAGAGGATTTCTATCTCTGTTGCCTCACAGTTTAGGAGGAAGGTTCCTGTCTCCTTTCAGTATACAGCACTCCTTGGAGATCTCCATGTGTCTTGACAACACTCTTGCCCTGGATCAGAAGAATATGCTCTTCTTCTGGCTCCTCTTTCTTGGTGGCACTAGGTCTCTCCTCCCTGCTGCTACTGTTTCCTTTGATCTCTTATAAGACAAAAGGTGCTGCAGGCCATACCTCAGGGAAACGCCCCTTAGATCAGGGCTGTGAGGGAATTAAAGGGTATTCCATCCCACCCTTAATCCTTTCACAACTGACTGACTTATTGCATCAGATCATATCATGGGGAGAGGTCATTCCATAACTGCCAAATTATACCTAACTGCCAAACCAGAATCACGGCCCAGACAAGTTAACACATATTTTGAACGACATAATTCAATGCGTGACATCTTCCTAATGTAGTCCGCTCTTCATGGTGTAAGAAGAAGCCCATTTTTGGCAGGCAGAGTTGTGATTAATAGCTCACCAGTGGTTGTACAGCAATCAACAAACAATAACACAGCAACAACCTCCCTACTTACCTAATGAAGAGTTGTTTGTTTATCTATGAATCTCTATTACTGAATTATAAATTGGGTTCTAATACATAAAAATACTTAGTGCAATTAGCTATTCTGCTCTGCTATTTCCGTAAGGTTCTATTGAATTGATTAACACCTGTGGCATGAAGATCCAAACATCTGTGAGGTACACGCAGAAGGGGGCCACGATGCTCCCCACACGACACATCATGCTGCCACTTCCCACAGCCATCGACCTAAAGACAATAACCACAAAACACAATCAATTCTGACTCATGGCAACCCCAAATGTGTAAAACTGTGCTCCACAGGGTTTTCAGTGGCTGAATTTTTGGAAGTAGATCATGAGGTTTTTCTTCGAAGGTCCCTCCTTTCCTCCAATCCTGTGATGGCCTACTGACATCTAGAACGTGAAGTATATACATATTTAGAAAATTATTCTGAGTCATACAGAAAGTCAGTGGGGGCCAACTGTATTTGAGATTTAAAATAGTTTTAGGATGTTGTTGTTGTTGTTATGTGCCATGGAGTCGGTTCCGACTCATAGCAACCCTGCACAGGGTTTCCAAGGCTGCTAATCTTTACGGGAGCAGAACACCTCATCTTTCTTCCATGGAGCAGCTGGTAGTTTCGAACTGCTAATCTTGCGGTTCGCAGCCCAATTTGTAACCACTACGTTATCAGAGCTCTTTAGTTTTGGGATAGCAGTGTGTTATTACAAACTAATTTTTTAATGTCTTTGCTAATGAGGTAGAGGCAAATTCTTAGTCAAAATCAGCATCATGTAGTTCACTGCTACCTCAGAGCTCCAGACAACTCTGATGGAAAGAAAGCACTTCAATGACACATAAGTGGAAGATTATAGGACAACAACAGAAAAATAAACAACCCTTACCTTACAATGGTTGGATATAGCTCTGCTGTATAAAGGTAAATGAGGCCAAATGCTGCCCCTATGGCAAATTTGCCAGCCATAGCTGCCACTATACTCCAAATATGATAACCCTGAAAAAAAATTATCAAAATAGAACACTGTGATAATTTTTAAAATAAAAATATAAAAATCTTTAAGATCATTGCTTTAAAGTTTTTCAAGTCCTCCAGTACTTTTTTTTTTAGAACCATTGTTGTTGTTGCATACTTTTGAGTTGGTTCCAACACATAACAACACTGTATAGGGTTTCCAAGAGTAGTTGGTGGGTTTGAGCTGCCGACCTTTCGTTTTAACAGTCCAGTGTTTATTCTACAGCACTACACCAGGGTTCGTAACACCGTTAGGAGTTTTCTTTTTCTGTGGGAATTATTTTGTAAGTTATACTCTGATTTGCAGAAGCTTTCTATCTTTATAAAATTTAGAGAAAAAAAAAAAATTGTAGAAAACCTCTTTCCAGCCTTGGAGGATTTGAATTGTGAAATAAGAAAAAAAAAATTAAAAGTTACTCAAAAAGTTACACATAGAATAAGCATGCCGTCATTATTGTTAGATGTCATGGAGTCCACCTCGAGACTCATAGTGACCCTAACCGCAATAGAAGAAAACAATTAAATCCTGTACCATCCTCATAATTGTTATGCGTAAGCCCACTGTTACTGCCAATGTGTCACCACTGTGTCACACCATCTCTTTTATCATTGACATTCTACTAATCATGATGCTCTTTTCCAGGAACTGGTCTTCCCTGATAACATGTCCAAAACACATGAGACAAAGCCTCATCATCTTTGCTTTTAAGGGGCATTCTGACTGTATTTATTCCAAGACGTATTTGTTTGCTCCTCTGGCAGTCCAGAAGGTACTTTCAATATTCTTTGCCAACATCATAATTCAAATGCACCAATTCTGTTTTCCTTATTCACTGTCCAGCTTTCACATGCATATGAGGAAAATGGAAACTCCATGGCACACCTTAGTCCTCAAAGTGACATCTTTGCTCTTTAACACTTTAAAGATGTCTTTTACATCAGATTTGCCTACTGTAATATATTTTATTTTGTTTTTTATTTCTTGGCTGCTGCTTCCATGAGTGTTAACTATGGAGCCAAGCAAAATGAAGTCTGACAATTTCAATCTTTCCTCAGTTTACCATGATGCAATTTATTGGTCCAGTTGTAGGATTTTCATTTTCTATACATTGAGGGGCAATTCATACTGAAGCCTACAGCCTTTAATCTTCATAAATAAGCATTTCAAGTCCTCTTTGCTTCCAGCAAGCAAGGAAAGGCAATCTTTCCTCCATTTATCATGATGTTATTTACTGGTCAAGTCATGAGTATTTTTGTTTTCTTTACATTGAAAACAATCAGTATTCCAAGTAAGTGTTTGCTTCCAGGAAGCAAGGTTGTGTTATCTGCATATCTCGGGTTGTTAATGAGCTTTCCTCCAATCCTAATGTTCTTCTTCATATAGTCCAGGTCTCAGATTATTAGCTCAATATACAGATTGAATAAGTATGAT